AGTGTGTGTGTGTGTGTGTGTGTGTGTGTGTGTGTGTGTGTGTGTGTGTGTGTGTGTGTGTGTGTGTGCAGACAGCGTGACATTAAGATTAAACACATTTCTTTCATTTGGGAACACCCACATTTACATATGGAGTTGGTCAGATGTGTGTCAATTACTGTTCATGGTCATTTGAAAACAAATGTGTTGTCGGAGATACACCTTACACACACGCACACGCAGAGCACACACACACATCAAGTCTCAAGTCATGAATACCAAGTCAAGTCTTTTATCAATGTTAGTCAAGCAAGTCTCAAGTCCAAAAATATGTGACTCAAGTCATGTGACTCGAGTCCCCCACCTCTGGCCTTTAGAGTGTGCTTTCTTCATTAAGTTGGATTTATAGATGGAACCCTTTGATACCTGTGCGATGTACAATAATTGTTTGTTATTTGTTTTAGGTCTCAATGGCTTTATATTTGATCTGAGTATGATTGTAAAGGGGATTGTAAGTCTCCAAAGTCAAGCATGTCATTAATATGTTGTACCTCTTCCACTAGACAACTCCCTACTGTAGACACAGTTTGTGGGGCCCTATCATGTTAAGGGGTGCGACATCTCAGTCGACCAGCTAACCAATCAGAGCAGACTGGGCTCTGGTTTCAGACAGAGGGTGAAAAGAGGTGTTGCAGTAAGAGAACAATAAAGAGCTTTTTGAACATTAAAGCATGGAGACATGTCCCAGTAGAAGCAAATGTGAACCGAAAAATGCGCATAATATGTCCTCTACAAAAGAAGGTGTGATTGTTTGCTAGGTCATTGGATTTCCTACATTTCCGAAACAGATATAGAAAACCGCAGAATCATGTCTTTTGATTCAATATTTTGCAGAAATGGGTGGAAAATGATAGAACTCTTATTTCACAGATTCCCACATGAGCCACATGTGCTTTAGCATGGAAAGCACACATTCACGTACACCTTGCACAATTTCATATTACCAAAAGTTACTAACATTTTGGACTGTAAATGCAGGCCTGACAAAATGTTATTACTTTCTCATAACAAACGGAGGATATGAAATGAAAAAGTAATTTTCCGCTTCATTCGGGCAAATAGTCTGGTTTGCGCCACTAAGGAAATCCATCACACTTTGTAATACATATAGGCAAAACCTTTCAATAACTGAAATGTATTCGTTTATATTCCTGTGATCTTTTATTTTCAGAATACTGTTTTTATCCCTGAGGGAAATGAAAAAAAAGACTTAAAAAGAGCATCAAGAAGTTAAAGTAAAAATGTGTTATAGAAAGGTCAAATAAAGATATTTATCTAAATATAAGCAGATAACCAGATAGCAAGTCAACAGTATATGCCACGTAAATCTTCATGATCTCAAATCTGGGAATATGAAGATTCATTTTTAGTTTAGCTCTGTCAAACTGTGTTAGAGGGTATAAGATACTTCTGGTCATTACAATAGATACATGATTGCCATTATCATGCTAAATGATGTCTTATAAGCCACTTTAATACACCAAGACTTTGGGGAACATTATAGAGGAATACATGCACTGATTTCATCTCCAAATATATAGACATTTGGAGATTTATGTAACATTTGATTTTTCTGCATTCTTTTTTTGGGCACATTTCATATTCAATCAAATAAAGATAATAGATATATTAAACTGAAGTTCAATTTGTTCAATCTTCATATTATATTTCCCTGCAAATGTGGGGTTTCTGTGCTTTTGATGATCAATTTAGATTTCCTAATTTATATCACGAGTCAGTTGTGAAATGAACAATAGATACCAAAAGCACAGCAATAACTAAAACAATAGCAATACAAACCAAAAGTGCCCTTGTTACACAAGTTGATGTAATCACTGATAACATACAAAACAAAATGTAATCAAAATAAGATAAAACAGAAATCAGCAGACATTTTGTTCAAAGGTCCATTAACTGCTGGAATAACAAGTTTACATTACTCTTGCCTCTGCTCTAATAGAATGGACTTTATCACTGTTGTCTCTTCACATGCAGGTCAGGAGAAGAAGTACGAGGTGAAGAAGAGGAGGGTCCTCAATGGGAAGACGGTGCCTCACTATGCAGCGGTGGAGCCGAAGGGGAAGGGGCTCATGGTGGCCTCGGAGAAACCGTTCGCCTTCACTCATGTGGACGGGCTCCCAGTGCAGCTGCCAGACCCCGAGCCCATGGAGGTGGAGAAGACAGGTGGGTCACCAGGGCTGCCATGTTAGGGACTTAATTCTGCCTTTTATTTTATACGTTAACCAAAGTCATCCATAAAGACCTCCATGTCAGTCATTGAAAGCTTCAGTAATTGCTTGCGCTGAAAGACAATTGCTTAATTTATATAGTTCTTATGGGTTCTGTTAACAACCAGTAGATATTGATTAACATTTCATTTAATGTCACATTTCCTGCCTTCTGACATATTTAAGTCCATCATTCACCCTCCTTTTAGCGCTATTTTGGTCTCTACCTACCTTAGTTTGGAAAAGTATCTGAATATTTTGCTGCTCAACGGTCCTTTACCAGCTAGTTGCTAACTTAACTCTTTAGCGTTCAGTGCTGTTTAGGGAGTTTACATTAGGTTAAAACGGTTGCCTGCAGTTTCTGTAAACAGGGCTAATGGGTGCATCATTTGGCAAAAAAACCCACTAACTATCAGCTAAGAGGGGTCAAAGGTTTCCTCCAGCTGCAGGGGATAAATCTCTTTTCATTATGAACCTCCGATTTCACATCACGTTTTCATTTGAGCCATTGTTATTATAATGATTAGATGGTTGTTAGTACAGCATATAATTCATAATACAATTGAATTAAAATATAACAAAATATGCCATTTTCATTGGTTAGAAGTTGCAAATAAATGAATATAATACAATAAAATGTGTGATTATTTGGTATAGTAAAGATACACCAACTGGGCTAGATTGATACATAATGAACCCAATGAAATAAGTAGTCATATTTCCCATACCAGTGTCAAAGTGAACGGTTGTACTTGCAAGTGCATCATGAACATGACCATCTCTCTGTCAAAAGTTTTAGTTCTGGTTGCAAAACTAATTTAGAAAAAGTTTTGTTAATTCAGAAGACCCAGTTTGACTCATGAGGTAAAAACGAGAGAAAGAGGTTATGTCACGCTTTGGCATCACTCATATTTATAATGAGGAAGTGCCATCTCTCGCCAGAGAGTGTACCAGCCTGTATGTACAAGCGTTGAAACAAATAGAAACACGATCATCATCTGGACTCTGACTACATCAAAGATATGATCATGATCATCATCACACTCATTTCATGACATTTCTATGTTGAGAGTATTTCCTGTTAAGATTCATCATGCAGTTGCATCTGGTTATTTCCAGTAACAAAACCAACATGTAAGCTTCTTCTGCTCATTACCTTTCATAGGCTCAAAGTGACTCTCTGGGTTGTAGCCATAGAAACGCTGGAGCAGGCAGCACAATATTCCCTATCAGACGGGGGTCTCTGTCAGATCTGATAATCTGTCTCAGTCCATGGATACTATCCAGAACATTTGTTAATACTTATTGTAAAACCAGAACATAATCTGTATTATAATTTATGATTTATGTTGAGGTTTTAATTTGCCAATGAATATATTATTTGTCCTAATTTGTTGAAACTGTTGAACTGATTTGTCTAAAAATGGCCAAAATAATGATGAATGCCAGTTATTTGGATCCAAAGGGATGTTTTCAAGTGTTTGATGACCAATAGTCAAAAACCCAAAGGTGTGAAAAGTTGCAAATTCTCACATTTTAGGGACTGGAACAAAACAATAATTGTTTTGTGTAACTGTTAAAAAATAATTATATTATTTAGAATTTATTGATATTGATTGTTTTTGGTTTTTGTTGTTGTAAAATTTCCTTTTTACTTTATTGCTGAGACCTAGATGAGTAGAGCGCTACCACACATACCTGTACAATAAATAGTAAAATAAAGTCAGAAATTAGCAAGGTTAGCTTAGCTTAGCATAAAGCTAACTTACTATCACATTGTATATGTTTCAATGCTTACCTGCATTGATACATTTTGACAGGGCTAAGCTAAGCTAACTGGCTACTGGCTGTAGCTTCAAATTAACCTACAAACTTGAAATGGGTGTCAATCTTCTGATCTAACTCTCCACAAAAAACAAAATAGTCGAGTTTGCCAAAATGTTTCAAAATTGACTAAATGTTTCACTATTATACACGTTGCTTTACTTTTATATACATCACCCTTATAACCATGTCTAGCAGTACATATACAATACATCCTGTTTCTGTACTGACTCAGATGTTCTAATCCAAATCTTTTTTATTTATTTTTCCGGTCTCCATCTTATTCTCACAACCTCTAAAAAGGCATACATTCCCCTCTTTTTCAAAATATATAAAAACCTTGGGTGACCGAGACAGCGCATCGTATATGCCTGTGTATTTGTGTGTTAATGGCACAAAAGCATTATAATAGCAGCTTTTAGCCGATCCTTTTATCAGCAGTCTGCTTTTCTCGTTTTGGAGTAGTAGAAGTAGATTAGATATCAGGAGAGGAGGCATCTTCAAAGCGCTTGTAAGTGATGAGAAAGGGGGGAGGAGAGATGGAGTTGAATTTGAGAACAGGTGCAGATATGCTATCAAGAGTGTACATAGAGAAAGTGTCCAAACGTGTGGTTGGATAAGTATATTACGCAAGTGGAGAGTGGCTGTGTTAGGTTGGCATTTTATGTGTCTGAACAGCAGTTAGTCCGACAGACAAGTTCAAACGATGAACAGTGGAGGGGTAAAGAGGAGATTGAGAAATGAAAGAGAAGATTTGGCAGCCCCCCTCTCCCCCTCTCCCCCTCTCCCCTTCTCATTAGTTATTTTGTTGATTCAGTGGACAACAAAAGGTGATAATGAACCTGTCTCAGTTCTCCACATCCCTGCCAGATATGGAGCAGGTTTGTTGCTTTGGAAAATCGAAATTGGACCAATTTCAGTGTTCAGGCTCTGGCAGTAATCACAGAGTGAGAGATATCACAGTTCTGGCACTACGTTTTCTCTATAGGAGTGTTGTATGTGAGAACATTCACTCTGGCTGCTTATGAATCAGATGATTCAGCTTGGAGTGATCTGTTCCCTCTGTTGTTTCAAATTTTTCTCCACAGTTGTTTCATGGCTTATTTCTTTAATCGTATAACTCTAGCCAGGATTGAAGCATCTCTACATTTCTTTAATTGGCAGCTGACTACAGCTGAGTAGTTTATTCCATTACAGGTTGTTGGAGGATGAATACATCTGAATGGGTGACTGATTAGAGAGGAAAAAGGATACAACAATCTGTCTAACTGCTAACCATTTATTGCAAACATGTGACAAGAGAAGGTTTTTTGTTACAAGTTATTACACAAAAAGCTGGAAACCTCGGATTTCATATTCAGGACAATGTATTGTTTTGTATAAGCAGAAAGAAAATCTTTGATTACATGCTTTTGTATGCAAATACGAGTTTGTATTTTGTGGATCTCAACTCCCTGTTTGATTTCTGTCGGTGTAACCCGACTGCATGCTCTTACTATTAAAAGCGGAAACTACGTTATCAGCAGCGTATCTGAAGAAGGCCAAGTGACACACATAGCTTTTTGAATTTGTTTGCGTACCGGCACATCCCTGTTATATTTGCAAAATATTTTTGTGAGTTTAAAAATCTACTTTCGATCAGGCATTTGTGAATCCAGTTTGTGTTGAGTTGTTCTCGAATGTGTGTTTGTGCATCGGCCTTTGCTCACAGAGATTTTTTAGAAAAACGTTCCGCCCGTCCGAATGAAAAACCTGCCTGCATCACTCTTAGCCATTTTCAGATAGTCTGCTGATGAGGTGGTGGAGTTAGAGCATGTACTGTAGATAATTGCATTCAAATGAACAATATTTCAATTTAAAAGGTAGATGAGCTACCTCAAAGAAGCATTACATGGAAAGACTCAAGTAAAATGTACCTCAAATACTTAGTTAAATGTTCTAATAATATTCAACTATTTGATATGACCGCTCACAGTTATGCCTGTGCAGAGGAGTGTGAGGGAGATTATTATTATCTGCCTCTCTGGTATGTTCTGTCTGGTAAATCCTGTAATTAACCCCTCCCCACCCAGGTTCTCCTATCAATGGGGGCTAACCATATGTTGCGAAGAGGTTACTAAGCAGCATTTCTGAATTTAGTTTGTTTCTTATTCGGTTTCCCAGCTGGTGAAATGAGGCGGACTGTTCAGTGATGGGGTCACTGTATTATCCTCCTTTTATAAATGTCTGGCAACTGCTTTCCATGAGGTAGGTACTTTTTCACCTGAGCCAAGATCTCTGAAAAACTGTAGTCTGAAAGAAAATAATGTCTGAATCTCGGTTATGAAGAGCAAGTGATGAAAGGGACTCAAATAGATTGTATTATAGAAATGTATCCGTGAACAACCTGTAACTCTTCCTTCAAATTGCGAGTTGAACACAAAGCTGCCAAATTGTTTCTGATCAGATTTGCGATTGTATTTTTTCATTTCTGATTCTGTACTTGCCTGTCATTTTATCGAGCTTCTGTAGACTGTTGGTCTAAGAAGGACACAAGGCTGGATGTTTGTACATTTTCCAACAAGGCTATTTACAAAAATGTCCTTAGTGACTTCCGTTTCAGGGTATAAATCTTTTTCACCAGCAATATTCAGATGGTAATTATTTTGTGTTTCATTGAAGCACACCAGGTGTTTTCACTGTCTGCTAAAAAGAAAAATGATTTGCTTGTGAATAACAGAATGCTAACAGGCCAGGGGAGGCGCTGAGTCAGAAACAACAGAAAATAGGCGTCTTAACATTGTGGGCAATGGTGAGAACAGATTTGTTTCCACATTACACATTACTTGTTCCCAAATGATTCAAACTATTTCCAAACCTCGAGGAATCCATAATTTAAATCAAGATAACAGTCCATTTTGACATATCCCTGTGCACATGCGTAAGCGTTGTTTCTACCGGAAGCTTAAAAAAATTCTACTACATTGGTAGTATTCAAGTCATCAGACGTCTTGATCTTGAGTCCTCAGAGAAACAAGCTAAGCAAACATTAGTCTTTAGCTCGAAGCCACTTTGTCCTGTTTCCACCAAGAAAACACTTATTTTACCAGCTTTATTTTGAGTTTCTACTGGTTTCAAACACCTGGCTTCTTTGTTG